AGTGCCTGGCTGTGATTACTGGTCATTTATCAGTTATGTTTGAGTTATCTCAATGCATAGCTAGAAATTCAAACCAGCTCCTGGAAAAAAAAACAAGTCTTCCACACATTTCTTTAGTACTCAGTTGGAGATGTGTGCAACACCTGGCCCACATTTCCTTTGCAAAGGACTTGTCTCTGGTGCCAAAGTTTTATGTGTGAATGGTGATTTCTGAGCTTCACACTGTAGATCTGTGACCATGCAGCGGTTGAGGACCTCTGACACCGAACCAATGAAAAAAAATCTGGTTTTTACAAATTTGTGAGGCACTTATTAGTCACTGTTTTTAATCCTATGAAGTAAAAAATGTATATTGATTGAGCACAGCCCACTACTGCCAACAGTTTGTGCTCAATACTGAGAACTTTATTGCCAAACTCTTGTATAACAAATCCATACAAACACATGGACTAGTTCCACTTTTATAACTTGTGTTACTCTTTTGTTGAAGTGATCTTTTATAATCTCTTTGTTATTCCTTCGGTGTAACTCTTCTAATTGGGGGGATTACTGAGATTCTCTGACTGTACCTCATAATCTCAAGTTCGAGCAGACGTAACAGTTGGTAGTAAAGCCCCTTGGAGAGTCTGAGAAGGGTTCAGGATATTACTGACGTCAAATAGGAGGAAGGCATAAATAAAAGCTGCAGATTATATCATTTAATGTATTGTGTATTCAAAACTAACAGTGTGAGGCTCTCTGCAGTGTTTCCATTCTCATGACATACGGCGGTTGTACAAAAATGCTTCTCATCTACGAATCATCAGAAGTATTTTGGCTTAATGAAATGCAGAGACTTATGTTGTTTCCTCAGAATATTTTGTAACAACTTGTTGACAACGAGGCACATAAATTGCTCACCAGACTCTAACTGTGGGAAATGATACTGTATGTACAATCAGGATAGCAATTATAATTACAATGGAAAGAGCATTGTATGTATTTTAAAGCTATTGATACTACTTTGATAATGATGTAAAATGCAAAAAGACTGAACAGGAACTATAGGTATGTAAAGTATACTGTGTATAGAGGAGTTTGCTCCAGGGGAGGGTTGGGCATGGGGTTCATTCTGTTCATGGCAAAATTGTTTAAAACAGAATATTGATGATTCTTGTCTGTGATGTAGACAACGTCAATGTTTTTTTTTTGGATAAAAGGCAAAGTGATATGAAAAAATTTGTGTCTTTTATTGACTGCAGGTCTAAAATTGATGCCGTTAGACAAGTGAGTCTAGACTGCTGTAAGCCATCACTGAGTTCTTAGGGATAAGCCTGTGGACAGAGGGCACATGTATTTAATCCCAGGCTACTCTGGGGAAACAGATGGTATTTTGGCAGCATTTAAGTTAATAGGTAAATAACAGCAATGTGACTTTTTGGGTATTTCGTTGTTTGTGTAGCATATTTTTTCATTAAATCACCAGTCTACATAATACATGGGGGGGATGAAAGGACTGGTATATTACCAGCAGTGGAATGTAACTAAGTACATTACGTTTATTACAAGAATTTCCATTTCCTGACACTTCTGCTTCCACTTCAAGAACATATTAAGAACTTTTAAAACATGAAGCAGTCTGACTACAGAACACAAAAATTAAGCTAAAACAGTTAGTCTGTTAATCAATTTGTTGATTCATCAATGATCAAAACAATCAGCAACTGTTTTGGGAACTGATTAATCTTCTTTTCCATGAAAAAATGTCCCCAAAAAGCTTTTCAAAAGACAATTTACTGCATTTACTTGTCTTAAATTGAAGTAAACTGGATCAAATTTGGGCTGTTGGTCCATTTGAAGGTGCCACTTTGAGCTCTGTTGTTCTGTATTTGTGACTAGAATATAGAATAAATGGATTAATCCAGAAAATAAACAGCAGACTAATCCATATTGAAAGTAATCATAAATTGCAGCCCAAAATAAAAGAGTTGAGAATTAACTTCGCCTCAAAAATGCTGCCTAAACAAATATATAATAGTATACATATAGTATATCATTAGGTAACTACATACACTCACAGGGGCCATTGAGTATTTTTACTTTTGATACTTTAAGTAAGTTTTTCTGATAATACTTTTTAACTTTTACTTGTAATGCAGTATTTTTTTCAGTAGTATCTGAATATTTGTTACTTTTTCTAAAGCTCAACATTCTCTCTCTTCTTTTTCCTACAAACACGACACAGAAATGAAAGAATAATCTAATTAAGTTTTTACAACGTTTGACAAGTGAAAAACAATTAAACCTAACAAAGAAATACTTTTTTTATATCTAAACTCTTTGTAAATTTAATTTAATCCTCCTATATAGTGACTCATATACTCTAGACAAAACAACTCTTTTGTGGTTGTATGATAATTCCCATCAGGACTCCATAGGTTGTAATGTCAGTACTGTGGACAACAGCCATGCAGAGGTGGTAATAAGTGACTTTCATTGATTAGCCACATCATTCACATTAAACCAGTTCAACGTTTGTTTTTGAAATCCTCCATTCGACAGTTCCATCTGAAGTTCATAAGATTATTATTATTATTATCAAACCAATGACGTTAAAGTACAGAGTGAGAACATTCATTTACCATAATTTTTTGCAAAAGATGTTTCCAGCTGATGGCATTCGGTCTTTTGATAGTCCATTTAACCAACACCTGGTAACACTTGTGCTTTTTCTGCTGTGTATGTCTGCTGTGAAAAAGGCCGATTATTACTAGCACCTTTGAATAACCTGGTTTGTGACTTTCAACCTCATCTTAGAAGTCCATATTGGAATAACACCATATACACAAGGTCAAACCAGGGATCTGGAGTTTGAGAATTTAAGACCCCCACAGAAAGTCTGTTCCTCAAATGTAACATTGCAAAAACTGCAGGTGATATTGTGTCCAAAAGTACAGTACTGAGCTTTTAATAATGTTTACCATGCGTTCAATAAGTACAACTCACTTGAGAGCTATTATTTATTAGGAAATGTATTCATTTATAAGCTAACCGATATATCAGCAGCAGGTAAGTGTCTATTACAAGCACTTTATACGAAAGACAAGAGCAACCAGAACGTTAGCCAATACAGAAGAAACCCCCACAGCAGCTGTTAACTTCAGCTATAAAGTTCACAGTACAAGAGCACATTAAAACACTGACCAGAGTAATGAGTATCATAAAGTCATCAAAACTTTGATGACTAATATCACTACGGTCTTATAAAGCACTGTTGCAGAAGAGTTTTCAACACTGGGCACTATGACTGACTGAGCACATGCGCTCACACATGAGCTGTGTGCTGATCTGCATGAGGGAGGGAAGGGAACGTGCTCTCAGACACCCATAATGATAGGTAAGATAATTATGCACAAAGCTGTGTATGAAGTTGAGAGCGCAGAACTCCCCGGGCGGCTCTGAACGAGAACAGCACATTCCGAGAAGTTCTTCTATTTATAATAAAATCATGTTTGGATTATGTCTGGTGTACTTGTTGGCTAAATACTTAATAACTGTTTCTGCCAGGGTTTTTGTAAATATTAAACAGGGCCTGGTTTCATCTTTCAGCCTCATTGGAAAATAAAAAGTGTATCACATCTGCACTGACTAAAGGTCACTTAATGAGTGTTTAGGAGTTATCACAGGCCTGAAAGAAGTAGGAGGAAAAGAAAAGGAGTGATCCTCAAGGCTTAATCACACCATCATGTTGTAAATATGTTAAAATAATAGTTCTATTTCCTGTTGTTTGCCCTGATCTAGAAATATGTTAATGAATTTAATTCCTTTAAAAATACAGGAATGTCATGTGTATTTGGAATTAGGTTGACACTAAATTATTAGATGCTGTTTGGAGCGAAGTAAGTGACTTTACTCGACGTTGCTTGTTGTTCATGTGGGGGGTTTGTATTCAGGTCTAACCAAGAAATAACGGAGACACACAATGTTCTAAATTTATTATTTTAAAGAGAAAAAAAAGTTTTTTAACCTGAATTTGAATCTACAGCACAGCAATGATATTGGATATGATATTGGAATTTAAAAAACTCAAAATATTTTTTCGCAGCAGGTGTGTTAAAAAGATTGCAAAAGTCGCAACTTTTTAAAGGCAATGTCCTTGGGTCAGGGATAGGAAAAGATTTCTTGAATAACTGATTTTTTTTTCAAAAGTAAAAATGAACCAGCAGGCGGTGCTGTCACAATCTTCTAAGGAGATTTTTATTTTGAAACGCAAACAAGAATGTGAACCGGAAGCTTTACTAACGTTCATGCGGCTTCATGTCATAGATCGTAAATTGAGATGTTTATTGTGCCTATACATTTGTTTCTGAAGGCTAGGTTACATTTTATTCAACAGACACTACAATATATTTTCTGATTGAGGTAAAACAGGAGAAAAGGCACAATGACCTAATGGTTTCTCAATTCTTCCTAACAACGTGCAAATTACAGCAAATGTGTAGTTTTGCATGCAAACGTATGCGTTCATGAATTCATTGATTGTTGATTGATTCACTATTCAGTACACACTTATTGAACCGTACATACAGTTCATATGCATTTAAGTTGTAATGTAGTTGTGTAATTACACACCACTGACCATATTTGGGACTCTGGTAGGTCTTGTGGGTCTGGGTTTGTGTTCAATAGCCCCCCCCCCAACAGGAGATAACCTTCATTAGTTGGCATATTGCTGCCCTCGATTGAGTCGTAATATTTTAACTGTGCTATCCAAATAAAGATGTATAACTCTATCTCGACCTTCAGAAAAGGCCCCTGTCGGTGCAGCTGCTGCAGCTTTAAACACAAGCATAAAAACATCCCAGGGACCCAGAGTACAACCTGAGCCCTCTGTCAAATGTATCCGCCACCTGTTCAGTAGAAATCAGAAATGTCTCCACACCTGGAATTTGGATCGGAGTGAGACGTCCTCCTCTTCTCTCTTGTTCATGAAACAACCTCTATCTCCTCCTCCTCCTCAGCACCATTATCACTGATGGTCGATCCATTCATTGACCACAGTGGCTGACCACACGGGGCTTACATGTTGCAGATGAGATAACATTAGGGTAAACTTTGGATGTTTGACCCGCTGCTATAAGTGAGGACTGTGTGCCATATGTGTGAGACACAGACTGTAACGTTAGCTCACCCGCAGCGGCACTCCGAGTCCAACCCGTCGCTCTCCTCTAAGGTCTGTACTGGGAATATACTTTATATAATATACTGTTCATTTCCCTCTTTTAGACTTACACACTTTAACATTTGGCTGAACAGAGGAGAGTAACTTTTCCTCTTGTTTTCGACACTAACTCAACCTACGAGTATCGCTACATTAGGATGTTGTTACTACACATTTTAAGTTTCCTGTTATAGAGAAACGCTGTTTTGGCATTTTACTCTTTTTATGTGTCTAAACGACGATAAAAGCTTATATGTCCTTCAGCCGTTTTGATGTATTAAAATATATTTGAATTATTTTGTATGTATAAAGAGTATTATATCCCCCTCTTGTGGTCAACCCGTGTCCTGTCCGGTAATAAGAGTACATTACACCAGCAGAGACAGTAGGAATACTGCTGCTCATATTGTGCTTTAGTAAAGAGAGGACACAGTTAAACCTGGAGTGTTTTAGGTTAAATTAAAATATTGTAAATGACAAAATAAAGAAATACATTTCTATTATCTAATGCTTAGTGAAGTGGCTTCTACCCTTGCATTGTATTATATATACACAGCTTTCCTGTGTCCTTACAAACCCATTCTGAGCTCACTGTAAATAATTACTGTTGCCATAAATGAGGGCAGGTTTTATTGTAGTAAACTTTAGCCGCTGCCTGTCCCGGGCCTCCCTCTGCAGGAACACACACAATCACTGTGTCAGGGTAGTATTTAAAGAAACAAATGGCTCATTGCATTCAGTGTATAGTAATTAAAGTGCTCTAATAAAATGTAGGGGTGTGTGTTGTGAGTGACGTTAGGAGGTAAAGTGTCATTTATTTGTTATTTTACCAGGTAGCTGAGGGAAAGGGAAACCTCTTCTATCAACTTCTTGGACGTCATGGCCCCACACCCGGTGGTCCAGGCCATTATTGACCTCTCCGCAGGAGCCATTGGTAAGAGTGCGACTCACTGGCTGTGTGTGACGTAGCAGGAGATTTTGATGACTGCTGTGTTTTTCCGGCTCGTTTCTCTCTGTTTTCATTGACTGTTTATACTGCTCAGCAGAGTGGAGCCCGCTCTGATTCTTATCTCTCTTCACAGCACATATACTTGAACACATGATTTTCCTGTAGTTTGTTGACAGTTTTCTGTCTTTCTTCTCCAAGGGGGGGCTGCATGTGTCTTCAGTGGGCAGCCTCTGGACACAGCAAAGGTCAAGATGCAGACCTTTCCTACGCTGTACCGGGGTTTCATCCACTGCATCTCCTCCACCTACAAACAAGTGGGCCTGCGAGGCCTGTACCAGGGCACCACGCCAGCACTCATGGCCAACATCGCAGAGAACTCTGTGCTCTTCATGAGCTACGGCTTCTGCCAGCAGGTCATCCGCTTTATGGCTGGACTGCACAGTGAGGCGGTGCTGAGGTAGGAGGGGGGGTGATGTTAACCAGGCTGTGCTTCTTGTTAACATGAAGCCAAAGTAAGATCGCCAACGGTCTTCTGTTTATCCTTCCCTGTTTCAGTGACACGCACAAAGCCTGTGCTGGCTCCGTAGCATCCATCTTCTCCTCGCTAGTACTCTGCCCCACTGAGCTTGTCAAGTGTCGGCTGCAAGCCATGTATGAAATGGAGGCATCAGGCAAGATTGCTAAGAGCCAGAAGTAAGTGTTTGTTTGTTTTTGTTTTTGTTTTTTAAATGACGTTGTTTATATGTAGAAAAATTACATTGATACATCTAAACCACCATAATACAAACTCAAATTACTTGATATATAATAAGTTAATATTTAGGAACTAAAATATTGACATTCAAAGAACTAAAAGTAGTTTTTTCTGTGACATATTGTATTCGTATAGTCATATTTTTTTTAAATTGCTCTAAAATAGAGATTTGGTAACAGACTCAGAGAGGTGAAACGGAAGAAATGTGGATATTTTACCAACCTGAAAACAAATCCAACCTAAATTATTCCTAAGTATTTGTGTAAAATTTCAAGACATTTCATACTTACTCTGTTTATCTCAACCACATACTTTATATGTGCATTTGACAGCACGATTATTGATGATACATTCATTATTCATACATTTTATTTATAAAACACTGACTATTCAGTAGTAATTCAGAGAATCCAAAGACGTCACTGCTCAATCCCTTCCCTGCAGGATGGGTGTGGACATTAAGGGGATTTATAGTTCACATGCTCCCCAGAACCACAAACTCATTTTTGGTAGTCAATAATAAAACTGCAGTAGTTATATGGTTATATTTTTCTGAGTTAGTGTTGTAATGTGTGCGCATTGACCGAGCCATACTTTCCTCTGCTCTCTCTCTCTCTGAAGCACAGTGTGGTCGGTGGTTAAATCAATCATGAGGAATGAGGGACCGCAGGGCTTCTTCCAGGGCCTGACCACCACCATAGCCAGAGAAGTCCCGGGTTACTTCTGCTTCTTTGGTGCCTACGAGCTCAGCCGCACCACCTTTGCGGAACACATGAAATGTGAAAAAGACGACATAGGTACAAAGAAAAAATCCATCATTCATATAGGAATTTTTAGATCTATACTACTACAATGAATTACTAATGTTACAGTTGTTGGACTAAAATATGGCACAGCAGTTATGAGATTTATGTTTTCCTCTTCATTCGCCCATATTTGCTTTCACCTCCCACGCATCTAACATACATTGTCATTGTGTTAGTGTGTAATGAGTGTTACTGTGTGTGTTGAAGGTGTGGCTCCTATCGTGTTCAGCGGAGGCTTGGGGGGTGCCTGCCTGTGGCTCGTGGTCTATCCTATGGACTGCGTCAAGTCTCGGATCCAGGTCATGTCTATGACGGGCAAACAGGGAGGGTTCTTCAAAACCTTCATGACCATCGCTCGTACTGAAGGTAGGCACAAGTTGGGTTTGATGTTTCTATTGCATTATCAAGCAGAATATCATTTAAATGATAATCATACATTTGCTGTTTCCCTTTGTTTAGGTGTGAGGGCTCTCTACTCTGGTCTGACCCCCACCATGGTCCGCACCTTCCCTGCTAACGGAGCACTGTTCCTGGGTTATGAGGCCAGCCGGAAGCTCATGATGAAGCAGTTTGACTGACGAAATATGCACGGCACAAATGAACGACTGGTGAACTGGAAGTGAACTATATAGCCATATAACCTCATCCAAACTCCAGTTGAAGCGTTGAAGCTTATTATGTATGGGATGTGGTTTTTACCATTTCCTGCTTTTGTTAACATTACCTAAAACTGCCACACTCCATCTCTCTCACTATTTACATTGTTTAAATCCTAATTTATTTTCTAGATTTAAAGATTTAAATATCATTTGTTTTTAACACTCCAACAACACTACTGCCGACTTAAAACGTAAACACGTATATGAGGAAGGTATATGTGTAGCACAGTACTGAGCAATCTTATTCAGCCTCCAGTTTATTGTTTTGTGTCTACCTCAACAAAGTCGTATGTGCACAGAAATGCAATTTTCTGCCAGTTATTTCAAATCACTCTTTACTTACATGTGTAAGGAAACAGTTAGATTGAGAGGTTGTCTTGATTGCACAAAACCTTGTTTTAGCTCACTACACGAAGATTTTATTTAAAAAAAAAGGCATATATTAATTCATTTAAGCTGTCTATAACGTGTTTTCACTTATGGAATCATTCTCAGTTCAGTATGAGCCTCAGTTTTCTGATCAAATCTTTGCTTATTTAGTTAAAGTGACATTCTGGTAGCATATATGCTAAAACATTTGCTTACTTTTCAGTCATAAAGGTTTCATCTGTCACAGTCAGCAGGTGTTTTTGTATTTGAGCCTAATCTTATTCCATCGTACTGTTTTTGTATTGACATGTGATATTCCACCCCTGTTGTGATGATGTTTCCATTCTTTTGAGACTCAGTATTTGCCTTTTAATTCACCACATTTTGCCTTTTTGTTGTGTAACCTTTATTGTTCTGTACAAGTCAATGAGAAAATAACAGATGCCTCGTCAAATGTGCCATTTGCACACTTTATCCATGTGCAGGGTTTTTTCCCAGTGCTTAGTAGTTGGCAATTCAGCTGTTCATTGAGAAATATAGGTATTTTAAAATGCTAATCATTTGAGATGACACTGAAATGTTTGTACAGATATCAATCCTGATATTCTCTGTAGTAATACAACCTACATTAAAGGTGTCATTAAAGTACAATTTTGTCCTGTTTTTTATCCTACTAGTTAAGTACAATACACCAAAAGGTTAATATTATTAAACATAAGTTAACAACACAGAGCTGCAGCAGTGGATTGGTAGCTTATATTTAAAACCAGTTTATTTCCAATGAACAATATAATTAGCATGAATGATTAACTTAATACGCAAAGTTTCTGTGTTTTATAATGAAATGTGAAAGTATGTGAAACAAACATAAAATGTATAAAAGTCTGTTGTCAGAGAAACAGTTTTCTAGTGAATAATTAATGCAGTTGCAGCCAGGACCAATGCTCTCAGTCTTCCAGCAGGGGTCACCAGTCAACTGTCAGGAACTCACAGTGGCTGTAAATAAACAAACACCAAAAACCAGAGAGGGAAAGAAGTTAGGTTTTCTGATTGCATATCTTATCTGAGGAATGTCTCTAGATTGAGATATATAAACAACACATAAATGGACCGTGTTTTCATTTCTTCCTATTTATTTCACAAAGGCTCAGCTTCATCTTACCCCTTTATTGTTGCAGGTTCCACACAGGCAGCCGAAGAGCCCGTTGATCATCTGAATGGCACAGAGAACCAGCTGCAGACAGCTTGTGGCCAGCAGAGTGGCAAACAGACCAACGTTGAACTGCACAATGTTCTTAGGCTCTGTGCATTTTCCCCACGTTGTGTTGTCGGTCAGGTAACTCGGGTCACTATGCGAAAGAGGAACTTTTATGAATGATCAGGGCTTTAGAAGCTTGAACAGTTATCATCAGAAAGTTCCTCACCTTTCTTTAAAAGGTGTCATCCAGATCAGGATGACTTTGCAGAGGGGCCCATTTTGCAACCCGAGCACTGCCACAATGAAACTGTACAGGGCACCAGCCACTCCCACTGCAGCAAATGCAATTGATAAGAACATCTACAGCAGAAGTTAAAGGACAAGGTCAAACACATTTCTGTTGCAGTTAAAGACATTCATACTGAATTACTCCCCATTCCTCATCTGTGCCTACCTCCACCCCCACACATTATTTTGTGCTATTGATAAATTAGGTATTTATGTGTTTAAGGAGGAACAGGCTCTTAGTTGTCCGCTGACATTTTTCACCTCTCGCATTCCTGACATTTACTCTGACAAACTGACTCACAAGGTAAACTAAACCAAACATGCTGAGACATAATTTACATCAGCCTGTTAGAAATTAGTATATTGAAAATTAAAGTGGCTGTCACTTTAATTACTGTAATTCTATTGTCATACTCAGGCCCTTGTTGCTGTAACTTGGTGACAACCTGAAGAAAAATCCATTAACAGGAATACATTTCTGATCTTGGTGTTATTTAAAAAAAGTCATGTGATAGTTTGTATCAGCGGCACTGGGCGTTTAAAACACATTTCAAACAGCCTTTTGCACATTTTAATATTTTTCTGGGATCCAAAACAAGAGATGAAGCAACTGAAACTGATGGTTTCATAATTTATTACACTGTGTGTTATCTTATTACGGAAGCATATTGCATTCACTTGAAAAAAAAAAGTACTTTTTCTGAGTAATTTTTTTCCCTCCTGTTTGTCTGAGTAATTATTTTCCTTTTTTTCAAGGGGCGGTAATTATCCTTTCCTTTTTTTCGGGTTGAATGTTTTTTTCTGAATTACTCCTGCGAGAACCTCCAACCTGCAAGTGACTCCCATGGACCTATGGTGACTCCCATATGTATATCTATGGTGACTCCTGCCCGCACCTACATGCCCCACCTTCAGTCCACAAACTAATGATAATACCATCTATGTGACTTAAAGACAGGACTATCTCCCAGTGTAAACCCAGGTCAAAGTAAAACTTGATTGAACTAACAAAGACGGGTTATGTTTGTTTCCGTTAAATCGAGCTTTCAATAAAGTAATGAATGCGTCTATTGTTTGTTGCTCTCTAAACGCGGAAAAAAAATAGTCCGAAAAACAGAAGAAAAAAAAAATATTCAGAAAATCTGAAAAAAACCTCTGAAAAACCAACCATAAAAATAAATTACTCAGAAAAACACAATTACTATAATATTTCAAGCGAATGCAATACGCTGCAGTATTTCTTATCTATCCAAGCGGTATAATTTATTTTTAGTAAATCCTAAAGTCAGTGTAACTGGCCTCCCTTAAACAGTTGAATTTGGCTTAAATGTAACTTTGCAGTAAAAGGTTGAATGATACAACTATAAAAACATGGTTGAAGTCTTAATTTCATTTGTTGAACTATGATCATGCTTCTATTTCTTTAATTTGCATATATGGCAGCTGCAGTGTAGTTTTTAATGTTAATCATTTAAATATAGGTCAGGCCTCAACTTTCACTGAGCACCTGAAAAGTCTCATTTGTAGTTCTCAATGACTCACCCCACAGCGGTTCCCACAGCACCCCTCTTTTCCAGTCAAGTGGATGTAAAGTGCTGGGAGCAACACCTGCGGTAGGACAGATAAGTTGACAGGAGTTAATATTCAGTTTATTCAATTCAGCAGTTTCACTTCATCTTAATAACTCAAAGCTTGTATGTTAAAATACTTTGTGAAACATTACAGGAGTCAGGAATACCTCTCCGGGCTGCATTAAACTCATTAGAAGTTTGAAACTTTGCTTCAGTCAGAATTAAATGTGTCTACTGAGAGTCTCATACAGCACATAATGGTGAGATGATCCCTCATTAAAATTGAATATACAGTATGAAGCCAGTATTTTTTTTTGTTTTAGCTTAACAGAATTCCCATTTTTTTCTGAGGCTGCACATATTTCAGAGAGGAATTTACAGCAGCTTGTAGTCCAGAGTCACGTCCTTCAATATCAGGCAAGAGAAGAGACAACTTACCATTAAACCCCCTCCAACGAGCCCCCCCATGTATTTCACCTCCTCGGTAATATGTCCATCTTTGGCATACTTGACGTCCCCAGCAGGAAAAAACAGCACTATGTTACATATGATGGATATGAGTGCTAATGGGTACAGAGTAACAGCAATGCAACGGGAACATTTTCCAGTACACATGTTGTCAGAGTGAAAACAAACTAACTGCTAAAACCTGTTGTTCCGTATGTTCAAGATAAGATCAAATCTTTCCTGTTTTTACAGACAAGCTCCACTTGCTACATACCCAAAAAGGGGATGTATTTCCACCAGAAGCAGTGACTAAATAGTCTACTGTGAGTGATTTTAGGATGTGGGAGGTGTAATGACAAGTAGATAACATGAACAAACAGAGCTTGGGATAGGCTGTAGTAGTAACTAAGTAAGTATGTGACTCATACCATGGTATATTTGGGAGACAATGCTTGTTTTGTTGAGTTAGATAATGTGTAGATGCACTTTTTTTGTGAAATAGGTAAATGCAGTCAGGTAATCTGAGTCAGATGTGTTATTGATGATCACATCACTGTTAGTTATGTTGAGTTTAGTGATCAGCCGTCCAAAATAAGTATTATTGTAGTTAAATCTCAGTTTCTTGTATGCTGTTGTAATATATTCCCACTTAGTGCTGCTAGATGGAGAGACATTTTTAACCCCACCTATAACATACAGTATTGTATTGACACAGTGACTCCAGAATCAAGGCACGGTTGGACTTTAGACCTGTGGCAGCATGCTTGGTAAAGCAAGAACAATGTGTCATTGACATCAACTGCAAAATGTTGACAAATGACCACACAGTGGATGGTTAAACACTGACCGGACAGGCTACATTTTTTAGTTTCTCCACTGAACATGATGACTGCAGTTGTTTCTACGGTGTTTCAATACCAAAGAAGAAGCAGAAGAAAACCATGTTTTCCAAAACATGTGTTGTCTCCAAGCAACACATAGGTGAGGCAGTCTTCCTCATCAGTGATTAAAACAGCAGATCCACAACAGAAATAACTCATTTCCTTTTCCTTCTTACTGTGATAAAGATAACACAGATATTTAGAAGAGGAAACACAAATGCAGAAGCAGTGCATATCATGTGTAATACAGTTTGTGAAAAAGGCCCCATCTGGGGGTGAATTACCCTTTAATTTAAAATTTTCAATTCAATTCAATTCAATTTTATTTGTATAGTGCCAATTCATAACAGAAGTTATCTTAGGGACACTTTTCAAATAGAGCA